GAAAATAAACTCTTGTCTTTTGAAATAAAAGTTACTTGGACCATGTGGGTTTCAGAGTGAGTTGCAAATCTAAACAGAAGACCCAGTTAGTCCCAGAGATCTCAGTTGAACTACCCTACTTTCTGTGTGAGATTTAATTCAGCACATAAAAAATATTAAGTGACTATTAAAAAAATACCTTTATATTCCCTCCCCTAACTTGGTACACTGTGACATTTCCTGGTTTGGTGAACGTAATATATTCCTTATAATAAAATTCATCATTATGTGAGATCATGAATAGCAAAAGTCTCTTTGTAGCCTATGAAATTTCTGGTAGCTGTAATGTCATAAAATAATGCATTATGGGATAACTTTAGGGAACCAGGAAGGGCCAGTATATTTCACCATTGAAACTATCACTTTTAAAGCAAAGAGATGGGGTTTTAATTTAATTTAACACTGCAGTTATTTCAGAATAAGCTATTCTGGGAGAGTTATTCTGAAATAGTTTATTTTGGAATATCACATCTACACTGCAGGGAAGCCTCAAAATTAGTCCGAGGCAGACTTCCCTAATATAGACATGCTATCTCAATTTAGAGCCCCAGGAGGAATAACTTAGATTGGCCCTGGTGAGGGGCTATTTTGAAATAGGAAAAGTGGAGCCTCTACACACGCCTTATTTCCAAATAGCTATTTCAGAATAGGCATTATTTTTCATAGAATGAGGTTTACAGGAGTCGGAATAAGCCATCTGTTATTTCAAAATTATTTTGAAATAACGGAATTGCTGTGTAGACTCTCACATGGTTATTTTGGAATAACAGCCATTATTCCAAAATAACTCTGCTGTGTAGACACACCTTATGTGACTTGTGGTTTTTTTCTCCTTCCCTCTATAAAGCAATACTGACTTCCCCACTGCTTCTGTGATTCACATAGCTACAGTGTAACTCCTGTTCTCACCTTCTTAGCCCTGCCCAGACTCCCCTCTTTCTTTATTGCTACCCCCTGTGGCTGTCTACATCCTTTCCCATTTTTCCTCAAGTCACTACCATAAGTGTGCACCCTTCAGCTGTCACATCTTCAGCTTACCTCTCACTCAGGATGCTTGGTGCATAGGGAATGAATGAAGTCTGAGATCTGCCTCTTCAGCACACCTGCTAGGATAGTCACACTCTACTTCCTGATTGTTCCAGAGGCAGCGAAACAATGCATTTCCCCTGGCTTGGGGCATAGAGCTTGGAAGTTCTGGAATCAGACAAAGCATTGCAGAGCTGAGAAGCAGTGACCATTTTAGTGGCTGGAATTTTGTGGTAATTTAATAGCAGGCCTCTTAACATTTTATTAGGGCTAAAAATGTTGCTAAATGCTATTGGGAAACTTAAACTGACATCTTTTTATTGCCTTGCAGCATTTATTTATAGACCGGAGGGTTTGCAAGGAATAAAATCATATCATTCTGCTAA